ATCAATCTAAATTAAAGTTAATTTTCTAAAAGAAATATTTTAGTATTTTTATAATATTACTGTTTATTAATATGACCTGCAAAAAATTAAGAGGAAAACATTTCAAAACTACATTGTTTTAATAAAATTAAAATTAATACTCCTATTCTAACTTTAAAAATATGTTGTTGTTGTCTTTTTCATTTCAAATTTATTAAAACAATTTAATTTTATAGTGTTTTTCCTCATAATTTGTTAAAGATTCAATTAGCAAACACATTTTTCTTTTTTTATTCATTCTTTAATTGATTATTGCATAATTTATTACTATGATATTTTGGTTTTTATTATAATTAAAAAAACTCATTTATCTCTATTTTTGGTTAAGAATACATCAGTAAAAAAGACCACAAATAAATCTTTTTATAAAAGAAAAGATTAAAAATTTTTTTTTTTAAAAAAGACGAATTAGTGTCATAAAAGATACTACTAAAAACTTAAATCTTTAACAATAAATTCCCCCCCCCCCCCTACCCAAATTTCCTGGCTCCGTCCCTGATTGTATTGTGGAGGGTCGATAGCGAAGGGAAGGCCATTGTAGAGGTACTCAAGATAGTTCTTGGTGGGCTTGAGTTGGGTTCTTAAAGGCATCAATTTAACTATAGTACACTACATTTAGCATTCTTGAAAGTGTTCTTTCAGGTTTGAAAATGTTCAATTTTTCAATTTTTTTTTATTAGATCCAATTGTTGGATCTAATGTGACTGTAAATCTTGATCTTCATTCTCATCTTCCTATTGTTGGTGGGAAATAGAGTTACAATGTTTTGGATGCACTTTGTGTTAGAATTTTAAGGATTGATATACATAAGATTTAGGATATCAAAATTTAATAAAATAAATAAATTGCGTACCTAAATCTTCATAATCAATATATTACTTAAAAATCTTTAAAGATTTTCAAAAATCATCATTATTAGGGATCTCATGACAAAATCTACAAAAATAAATATAGTTAATGTTAGGATTTAGGTCTTCCTCTCCCCATGTAACTTCTATATAGTGACAATTAATGAGTTATGCCACTCCCTAACTCTTCTATTTATAGAGGTAGGGTATTTTGAATAGGTGAAAGGACCTAATCCATTATAATAATTTTTTAGGCACCCCTTGGATCACATCACTTTATTGGACTTTACTGATTTTCCATTTAACCTAATTTTGAAAACTAAATATAATTAGCGACAACACATGTAAAAATTTTCAAGATTCTCCCACTTGGGCAACGTTAATTGGTTTTAAATTTTTAAAAACATATGTAAACTCTTGAGTTAGACACAATTTTAGTGGCCACAAATATAAATCAAAATCTCAATACAAAATTTTGTTTAAGAAAAATATTAATACTGAACTATGCGGTCATTGTGTCTCTAATAACACATGACCCATCACAATCACAAGTATAAAATATCTCCACCAACATTAATTCCAATAGGTGTGATAAGGTGTAGTGTGTTTTGACAGAACGTGATCCATATAATATATAACATGTCAAAATCATAAGAGTCCTTTTATGGTTTTAAAGAAACCCTTTTATTAGGATGTAATCCCTTTTACACTTCCTCAAAGAAGCATTTAAACTTTATTATGGTTTCATAGAAATTTAAGAGATAGTTTCCCTCACTTTTCTAGAAAAGACTTTACACTTCAAAAAGAAGTATGTACACTTCCAAAGAAGCATTTATACTTCATGATCTCAAGATCAAAATCTATATGAGCTCATAAAAATCATCAATACAATGCACATGCATCATTATAAAATAATAAGTAATACAATAAGTAAAATAAAACTTATTACTAACAGAGAAATCAACTTCTCCCACTGATTAAGAATATCTAAAATTTTAATTCTCATAAATAACTAACAAAATTATAATTTTTTAATCAGTAAATTGTTAACATAATCACAATAATGCATGACTATAATCATTATTCATATTTTCACCTTTATATCACTCTTACTTTAGATCAATAATTACCTTGGATATATTTTTTCCATCAAGTTCTATCAATAAGTTATCTATATAGATTATTAACACCATCAAATATAAAATATTCTAATAGAAGCAATTCTTCATTATCTATTACTTAAAATATAACATGATCTTTAAACTTTAATCAAATACAAAAATGTAAAAGTGACAAAACTTTATCAACTTTAATAAAGATAATTACATCTTTTACAAGAATTATTTTTCATATAATTTATAACACGTGTCTAAAGGTTTCTCCATTGCAACTAAGCAACTTTCTCACACTACCAAAAAATCCACATTTAGTGACTAAATTATTGATCATTAAATCTTTATTTTTCGTTATAAATTATTATTAGTGATAAAATTTAAATCGTTAGTAAAACCCTTGTCACTAATGCTCTTAGTGACAAATTAGGCACCTGTCATATAAAA